ACAGCTCAGGGCCTGGAACCTGCTTTGGATTCTGTGTCTCCCTCTCTCTGCCTCTCCCACGTGCGCACGCTGTCTCTCTCCCTCCCTCTCAAAAAGTAAAAAAAAAAACAAAAAAAACAACTTTTTTTAAAAAGAAAATTAACAAAAGAGAATGTTTTTCTTGTACAGATTTTATTACAAGTGAACGAAAGAGCTGTAAGAGAAAGTCCTTTTTCACAGACAAATCATAGTAAATAAAGGTTGGAGGGGTAATATAATTAGAAAATCATCATTTTACAAGCCCTAATTAAATAATAATTATCTGCTGCTAAAACCAAGTGGGAAGACTGGTGGGAAAGCTTTATTATGGATAAAACTGGCTGACACCAGTTGAGCCCACTGTTGAATTTTTTTCACATGTATGATGTTTATTGTGAAAGTAACTGCAAGTAGTAAGTGCCTCTCCACTGTTGAATTTTAATATCACTAAAGTGAGATGAGACACAATCTCCCTACCGAAAAATAACTTCAGTCTAAGTCTCAATCTAATCCTCGAACTATTAGATATAATTTTTAATTTAAAAGAACAGAGATAGAGGAACATGGTAAATAAAACCCTGGGGATATAATCAGCCAAATCCAGAATATGTAGGATTCTATAAAATAAATGAGGGAAGGGGAAAGTTACAGAATAAAAATTATTTACTAGACATAATAACCAAATGTGAACTTGTTTGGATCCTGAATTGAACAAATCAACTGTGAAAATATATCTTTGAGACAATAATGGAAATCTGAACTTACTAGGTGGGAAATGACATTAAGAGATTATTGTTAGGGGCGCCTGGGTGGCTCAATCGGTTAAGCGTTCGACTTCAGCTCAGGTAATGATCTCACAGTCTGTGAGTTCGAGCCCCGTGTCGGGCTCTGTGCTGACAGCTCAGAGCCTGGAGCCTACTCGGATTCTGTGTCTCCCTCTCTCTCTGCCCCTCCCCTGCTCATGCTGTCTCTCCCTGTCTCAAAAATAAATAAAAACATTAAAAAACAAATTATTGTTAAATGTGATGAAGGGTATGTGGTTTTTTTCATCTACATAAAAAAAGGCATTATCTATTAAAGACGTACAAATATTCACATATCTGTGAGTGAGACAAGATGATGTCTGAGATTGGTCTTAAAACACTACAGCAAAAAGAGAGGAATAATTCTACTTACTTTTCATGTTAGGAAATTTCAATAACAAAATTTTTAAATAAAGTAGCAATCACAATAAGATAGCACTTCACATTTACTAGGATGGCCATGTTCAACAAGTGTTAGCGAGAATGTGGAGAAAACGGAACCCTTATACACTGCGGGTAGGAATGTACAATGGTACAGCCACTTTGGGAAAAAGTATGGCAATTTCTAAAACAGTTAATCATAGTTACCATCTGATCCAGCAATTCTACTCCCAGGTGTATACCCAAGAGAAAACCTATGTCCAAACAAAAACTTGTACATCAATGTTAATAGCAGCATTATCCACAACAGTAGAAATAATCTAATTGTCTACCAACTGATAAATGGATGAAATGTAGTATAACCATACAATGGAATATTATTTGACAATGAAACAGAATGAAGTAGTGTGTACATGCCACAACATGGAAGAAATTTTGAAAATATTATGCTAAGTGAAAGAAGAAAATCATAAAGAACCACATATTGTATAATTCCATTATATGAAATGTCCACAATAAGTCAATGTATAGAGACAGAAAGTAGATATTTGCCTAGGACTAAGGAGGATGAGAGAATTGGGAGCATGGTGGCTAAGGGCATAGGATTTCTTTACGGGGTAATGCAAATGTTCTAAGGATGTACAACTCTGAATATACTAAATTTTATACTTTAAATGTATGAGCTTTATGAACTATATTTTAATAGTTATTAAAAACATTAACAACAGGTGATATAGGGAGGGATGAAAGAAGTAAACTTAGTGAACTCCAAATCCTAGAATAGAAACAAAAAGCAAAAATCTTAAAGGAAGTTGAGAACCACAGGCCAAGAACCACCATTTTTAGAACTTATAAAATTCCTCCCTATTTGCTGAAGTTACATTTGGTTTTTTATTGTTTTAACCTCTTCATCTGATTCTGCCTAGTGACACACAGCAAAGCCTATAAAATCAAAAGCACAATGTTTTGGTTTTTCCAGATTTTATTTTTAAGTAATTTCTACACCCAGTATGGAACTTGAACTCATGACCTTGAAATCAAGAGTCACATGCTCTACCAACTGAGCCAGACAGGTGCCCAGCCATCTGTTTCTTTACTAAGTAAACAAAGAAAATAGGAGTTTGGAAAATGTATACCACTCTACACCCAGGCTACGGGAAAACAAAAAAATACAAAGGGTAAAGTGAGAAAAAGACAGAGTGGATTTGGCATGTATCAAGGAGAGAAGAAAGATTGGAACTTTTAACAGAGAAAAGTTGAGGTACTGGCTGGGGCATAAGAAGAATTATATAGTTCAAATAGTAGGCAACCTACAGAGGATTCAGGTCAATTAAGAAAAAACCCTGACACTTGTTACAAATTCCATTTTCTCACCTGTGATTTAAGTCACTGAGGGTTGAACTGTGTTCCTCAAAACAATATGTTGAAGTCCTAATCCCCAGTACCTATGCATGTGACCTTATTTGTAAATGGGGTTCTGCAGATGTAATCAAATTAGTTCAGTGACTATTGCCCTTACAAGATAAATGTAAATTTGGACAGAGATGCACAAAGAGAACATATTGTGAGGAGACACAGAGACACACAGGGAGGTAGTGGCAACAGGCAGAAATTTGAACAATGTGTCTTCAAACCAAGGAACAGCAAGAACTACTGAAAACCACCAGAAGGCAGAAGAGAGTCATGGAACAGTTCCTCAGAACGTCCAGCAGGGAACTGACCCTGCCAATAGCTTCATTTCAGAATTCTAGCCTTCAGAATTGAGAGGATAAATTTCTGTTTTTGTAAGCCACCTAGTTAATAGCACTTTGCTATGGAGGCCCTAGGAAACTAATACACTCATCAAAACACTTCATTTTGGAATCCTGAACTAATCCACAAATATTGGTCAGTAATTGCCAAATGTGACAGCTCCATTACTCATCATCTTTGTTCTCATTAACATCTGACAGTATCAAGAATTTCTGCCTTAAAACCCTTTTACCCTTTGTTCCATGAGCCTTTTTCTTTTTCTACTTGCTCTCTTCAGTTCCTTCTCCATCTCTTGTTTTTCCATATTCTATATTTGATGTTCCCCCTTGTTATTCTTCAATAATTTTTACAGAGGCACCTGGATGGCTCAGGTTAAGCATCCCACTTGGGCTCAGGTCATGATCTCACGGTCTGTGCGTGAGATCACACACAATGGGCTCGGTGTTGATAGCTCAGAGCTTGGAGCCTGCTTCAGATTCTGTGTCTCCCTCTCTCTCTGCACTCCCCCTCCCCCCCCCACTCTCCCTCTCGCTCTCTCTCAAAAATAAATATTAAAATAAAAAAATTTTAAAAATACTTTTTACATACTTTACATGAGTGAGTTCTTCTATTCCTGGGACTTCAAATGCTACCTTTATATTCATGAATCCTAACTCTATGCCAATAGCTCCTCACCCTATCTAACACCCTGAGCTTCATATTCTTTCATTCTTTCATGAAGTTGCTTACCAGACATTTCCATTGAAATATCTGTTGGCATTCCAAATTCTACCTTATAATCAGACCAATTTTGTAACAGCCCAAAATGTCCAAAAATGAAAATCTTATCTTTTTCCTCCACGAGCAATAACAAAAACATCCCCCATTCCTGATGGCCCAGACTGAGTTGTCTGTGTTTCCTTTTGTGCACCAGAGTTATCTCGAGATAAGACAAGGCCAAGCAATGTAATAGTCTAAGTATCCCTAAAAAGCACATACAAATAACAATTTACAGTTGACTTTTTTAAATTTTATTTGAGAGAAAGAGAGAGAGGGAGGGAGGGAGGGAGGGACAAAGAGAGAGAATCCCAAGCAGGCTCCTGTCAACACAGAGCCCAACACAGGGCTTGAACTCACAAACTATGAGATCACAACCTAAGCCGAAGTTGAATGCTTAACTGACTGAGCCACCAAGGCACCCTTAACAGTTGACTCTTGAACAGTGGGGGATTAGGGGCATTGACCTTCCACACAGGCAAAGGTTCACATATAACTTTTGATTCCCCCCAAAACTTAACTGCTAATAGCTTACTGTTGAGCCTTACCGATAAGGAGTCAATGCATGTTTTGTATATGTATTATATACTATATTCTTACAATAAACTAGAGAAAAAAGATGTTAAGAAAATCATATACGTTTGCATTATTACACATTACATTTACAGTACTATATCAGAAAAAATCTGTGTATGACTAGACCCATACAGTTCAAACTCACGCTGTTCAAGAGTCAACTGTATACCAAATATCTGGAAATTAGCAAAAGAAATGCCTTCTGCTCATCTCTGTAACAAGAGAACAGTTTCCCTAGTATAAGCTCCCACCCAAAAAGTCTAGAGCCAGACTAGTGCCAACTCAGCCATTAATGGGGAACAATGAGAAAAACAGAAAAAGTGGGAGATAGATCCTTCTAAATGTCCAATGATCTTCCAGCTTCCTTGTTTCTTTAATGTAGCTTAAATTCTTTCATTCTTCAACATGCTCTTGGGTCCTCTTCCCTTCACAAACTATAAAGTGTCCTATAAAGAAATTTTTCCCAGGGTGCCTGGGTGGCTCAGTCGGTTGACCATCCGATTCTTGATTTCACTTCAGGTCACGATCCCAGGGTTGTGGGATCAAGCCCCATGTTAGGCTCCATTCTGAGTATGGAGTCTGCTTAAGATTCTCTCTTTCTCCTTTTGTCCCTCTCCCCCAGTTACGCTCCCTAAAATTAAAAAAAAAATTAAAAAAAAAAAAGAAAAAAGAAATATTCTCCCATCTCTGTAACGTAAATAATGCAATTCCTACCTCACTGTCAGCTCCCAAGACATTGATTTGCTCCAATTTGTAAGTCCAGTATCTGGCCTCCTCCTCTGGGATATCTACCATGAAAAAGAAGAAATTACATTACGAGGTTAATAATTTGATCATGCACCAATAATCCTTTATTCCAACAAATAATCAAGGTAGAAAGTGATGGACAATTTTACTGGTGGGCTTGGTTCTTGACATGAATATGATCTTGCATCTTCACAGAAAACAAAATAATATTCTATTATTCCCACTGGATCAGAAGACTTATTGTCAAAATGTCAATACTACCCAGTGTGATCTACATATTGAATGCAATCACTATCAAAACCTCAATGATTTCTTTTGCAGAAATAGGAAACCCCATTCTAAAACTCATAAGGGAAAAAAATAAATAAAATTTATAGGGCATCCCAGTAACTCTAAATAGCCAAAAACAATCTTGAAAAGGAAGAACAAAACTGGAAGACTCACATTTCCTAATTTCAAAACTTACTATAAAACTACAGTAATCAAAACAACATGGCACAGACATATAGAAAAATGGAATAGAATAGGGAGCCCAGAAATAAACCTTCACATATAGTCAAATGATTTTTTGACAAGGGTACCATGAACATTCAATAACAGGAGTACCTGGCTGGCTAGGTCAGAAGAGCATGTGACTCTTGATCACAGGTTGTGAGTTTGAGCCCCATGTTGGGTATAGAGATTAAATAAAATCTTAAAAGAAAAAAAAACACTCAATAGGGAAAAGCATCTTTCAACAAATGGTGCTGGGAAAACTAGATATCCACAAGCAAAAGAACGTTGGACATTTACCTAACACCACATACAAAAAATTAACTCAAAATGAATTAAGACCTAAACTGAAGACCTAAAACTATAAAATTCTAAGAAAATATAGGGCAAAAGCTGAGTGATGTTGGATTTGGCAATGATCTCTTGGAGAGGACACCAAAGGTACAAGCCATGACAGAAAAAGCAGAAAAATGGACTTCATGAAATTAAAAAAAAAAAAAAAAAATTCTGCATCAAAAGACACTATCAACAGAATCATAGACAGAGAAAATATTTACAAAATATATCTGATAAGGAATTAACACTCAGAATAGAGAACTCAAACTCAAGAACAACAAAAACCCAATTCAAAAATCAAGAAAGGACTTGATAGACATTTCTCCAAAGATGATATACAAATAACCAATAAGCACATGAAAAGATGTTTAACATTATTGATCATTAGGAAAAATACAAATCAAGACTACAATAAGATCCCCCTTCACACCCAATAGGATGGCTACTATCAAAAAAAGAGAAAGAGCGCCAAAGTGGCTCAGTTGGTTGAGCATCTGACTCTTGATTTTACTTAGGTCATGATCCCAGGGTCAGGGATCAAGCTCCACTTCAGGCTCTGCACTGTACATGGAGGCTGCTTCAGATTCTCTCTCTAGTGGCACCTGGGTGGCTTAGTTGGTTAGGTGGCTCAGCCAACCAACTCTTGATTTTGGCTCAGGTAATGATCTCGAGGTTGGTGGGATCAAGCTCCAAGTTGGGCTGTGTGCTAACAGCCCAGAGCATGCTTGAGATTCTCTCCTTCCCTCTCTGCCCCTCCCCCCTGCCGTGTGTGCACACAGTCTCTCAAAATAAAGTTTTTTAAAAAAGAAGAAAAAATAAGGTTATATCCTCATTTCTATATATTTAAAACTGACCAATTAACCAATCAATTAAGACTGTGAAAACTTCCAAAAAAAAAAAATCTCTTAAAAACATCAGTAAGGGGCATCTGGGTGGCTCGGTTGGTTAAGCGACCAACTTCGGCTCAGGTCATGATTTCCTGGTTCAGGAGTTCAAGCCCTGCACTGCGCTCTCTGCTGTCAGTGGGCAGCATGCTTCCAATCCTCAGTCTCCCTCTCTCTCTGCCTCTCCCCCACTTGCACATACTCTCTCTCTCGCTCTCTCAAAAAGTAAATAAACTTTAAAAAAATAAAACATTAAGTAAAAATAATAATAAAAATAAAAACATTGGGGCGCCTGGGTGGTTCAGTCGATTAAGCGTCTGGCTTCGGCTCAGGTCATGATCTCGCAGTTCGTGGGTTCGAGCCCCACATTGGGCTCTGTGCTGACAGCTCAAAGCCTGGAGCCTGCTTCGAATTCTGTGTCTCCCCCCCTCTCCCCCTCCCCTGCTCATGCTCTGTCTCTATCTCTCAAGAATAAATAAACTTAAAAACAAAAAAATAAATTAAAAAAATAAAATAAAAACATCAAGTACATCTGTATACCTAACACAAAAGAGAAAACGTAGGCAATATATGGATCAGATCAACTTTGGAGACATTTAAATAGATATATTCTTCAGTAGTCCACATGAAGAAATCAAATCCAGGCCTTTCTCCTTTGTCTCTCTGGTTCAAACGTTCACCTCCTTCCCCTGAAACAGCTCTTCAGCAACTGGTGGCAACATTTTAAAGTTTTATAATAAAATCTTCAAGTAATCTACAACCTAATTTATATAGTTCTTCCTCATCCATAAAATGGTGTACTCCACACTTGTTAAAAAGAAATGAGAGGGGAGGAAGAGCTGTTTATATGTTCTGATGTAGAATGATTCACCAAGGTACATTGTTAAGTGGCTAACAGCAAGGTGTAGCAAACGTGTTAGAAAATCCTATTTTTTAAAATATTTGTTTACTTTTGAGAGAGAAAGAGAGAGAGAGACAGACAGAGTGCAAGCAGGGGAGGGGCAGAGAGAGAGGGAGACAGAATGCGAAGCAGGCTCCAGGCTTTGAGCTGTTAGCAGATAGCCTGATGCGGGGCTTGAACTCACGAACCACAAGATCATGACCTGAGCCGAAGTTGGACACTTAACCAATTGAGCCACCCAGGCGACCCCTACTATTTGTATTTTTAAAAGAGGTTGACATTTATATATACACTTATATATTCAAAGACTGGCTCTGGAAAGATACACAAGAAAGTACTAATCATGGTAGTCTGTAAGTAAAAGAACATATTTGTGACAAAGACTCAATTTTCAACAGGTAACTTTTAAACCACTGTGCACTGCCTCACCCACAAGATAGTTTTTAAAAAACATAGAGCTACAAGGATGTTTCTTGCACTACTGTTTATAACAGCACAAACTTTGAAAAATCAAAATACCCACCAAGAGGAATGGTTAAATGTATTATAGTTTAAATTAAAAGCCCAGGTTCCAAAGCCAAATCAGTGGAGTTTAAATTCTGGCTTTACTACTTACTAGCTATGTGACCTTGGGCAAAAGACCTAAATACTCTCTGCCTCAGCTTCCTTATCTCTAAAAAGGAGACAACAGTTAGGTCCACCTCGAAGGATTTAAATAATGAATATTATACGAGGAAATATGCAAAAATGCTTAGTGATATACCCACTGACACACAGTAATTAGTCAACAAATGCTACTTTTATTATCATTGTGTATTCACACAATAAAAAATCAACCATGGAAATTATAAAGGAATAGCATTTATTTTATATGCATTTATTTATGCCATTAGTGAAACAGGTCAGAATGTAATATATACAGTGCTATTTTATAGGAAAAACTATATTATGTGCATAAAAAAATAAAAGAAACAAAACATCTCAACACGTAAAAAAGAGATTAGAAATTTTAATGTCCCTTTTGCAAACCTGTATTTTCTGAACTTTCCACATCATAAAAAAACACATTCGTATTTTGTATTTATTCAGAGAGAGAGAGAGAGAAAGAGAGTACACAGGGGAGGGGGAGAGAGAGAGGGAGAGAGGGAATCCCACTCTGTCAGCACATAGCCCAAAATGGGGCCTAAACCCGTGAACCATGAGATCATGATCTGAGCTGAAATCAACAGTCAGACATTTAACCAACTGAACCACCCAAGCACCCCACATATTACTAGTTTTAAAAGATAATAGTACATAACTGAACAGAATATTTCACAGGTTTCTGAATACCCAAAAGAAAATTCCTTTGCCACAATATGGTATTCTGTAAGCTAAAATTCTTCCTTAGAAGGACCCTTCAGGGGCGCCTGGGTGGCTCAGCTGGTTAAGCTTCAGACTCTTTAGTTTCAGCTCAGGTCATGATCTCAGAGTTTTGTGAGTTTGAGCCCCACGTTGGAGTCTGCACTGACAGTGTGAAGCCTACTTCGCATTCTCTTCCTCCCCTTCTCTCTTCACTCTCTCTCTCAAAATGAATAAACATCTTTAAAAAAAAAAAAAAAAGGACTCTTTATCAAGCTTTTAATACTGTATCCCAAATGTGGTTATTACAGAGGCACAAGCTTAGCATATTCACGTTAACTCACATCAAAGACAGACTTATCTGAGATTTTACCTTCACATTTATTCAAAAAAACATTTATCGACACCTATCATGTGCCAAGCAAACTCTACAGTTACCAAAAAAAAGTACACAAGACCCCTCAAAATCAAACTCAAAATCTAGCAGAAATGTACACCGCCACCAATGACAACATACGTGATGCAGTGTTGAAAGAGAAGAAGGGAGGGGCGCCTGGGTGGCGCAGTCGGTTGAGCGTCCGACTTCAGCCAGGTCACGATCTCGCGGTCCCTGAGTTCGAGCCCCGCGTCGGGCTCTGGGCTGATGGCTCAGAGCCTGGAGCCTGTTTCCGATTCTGTGTCTCCCTCTCTCTCTGCCCCTCCCCCGTTCATGCTCTGTCTCTCTCTGTCCCAAAAATAAATAAAAACGTAGAAAAAAAAATTTTTTTTTAAAAACAAAGAGAAAAAGGTCTCTTTAAAATACAAAGAGTCAGGGGCACCTGGCTGGTTCAGTCTGCAGAGCATACAACCCTTGATCTCAGGGTTCTCAGTTCAAGCCCCACATTGGGCAGGGAGCCTACTTAAAATAAAAATGAATAAATTAAATAAAACGCAATGAGGGATGGACTGACAGTGTGAGGAGCCCAGAAATCCACTCCCCAGCAAAACTGTATATATAAAAAACTTATTTTTTGCTATTAACATGTATTTTTCCTATTTTAAAAATTATTTGTATCTTTTTTAACATTTATTTTTGAGGGAGAGAGACAGAACACGAGCAGGGGAGGGGCAGAGAGAGAGGGAGACACAGAATCTGAAGCAGGCTCGAGGCTCTGAGCTGGAAGCACAGAGCCCAACATGGGGCTCACACCCATAAAATGCAAGATCATGACCTGTGCCGAAATCAGTGAGTCACCCAAGTGAGTCACCCAGGCACTCCTAAAATTTATTTTTAAATAGCTTTTCTATCAATGCTACTTCAATGTTTAAATTGATAAATCAAAAAGCATATATTCACTTCAAAATAATGTATGTTAAATTGTCAAAAGAATAAGTCATTGATGTTCTCGAACAAGCAAATATTTCCTAAGTCATTAAAATGAACAGTCACAGAAAACTTAGTGCATTTACTGTGGATTCTTTAATGAGCACCATTCTAGAGTCTGCACCATTCCTAGACTAGATGTTATAGGGAATAAGGTAGAAGACAGAATGCCTTCAAAAGAGATAGCAGACAAGGCAAAAAACACAGTAATGAGACAAGCAAACAATGGTTAATAATACATTAAAAAGTGTTAAATGGTTTTTAATGTCTAATCTGACAGACTCACCAAAAGGCAGCTCAAATCTTGTATCAAGCAAAATCTTATGAGGAGTTGGGTTTTTAGTTCCACATATCTCATCATCTTTCATCAGTGTCTCTGCCTCCAACGTGGACCACTCTCCAGGCCCTTCCTAGAAAACAGAGATCTGAGATTAAACTTTACTCCTTTCATGGCTCTCCTCCTCCTGGTTTAAGAGCTGGTGTTTTCTCTAAATTTCCTTGTTGGAGAGCTCCTGAGGACCACTCACATCCTGATGAGGCAAACACACCACAGTCACAACCTGCCTCTGCTGCATGTGGCTGCCATTCTCCTTCTTTGGTGGAAGCTTTCACTGTGCTCAGCTCTCTGCAAGCCCACTGCAGATAGAAGTCCAGAGTACCACACTCAAAAACCAAACATATCCATAGATCATTATTTAATCTGCACAATTTTTAATGAGTGTATCACTTAAAATGTGTTACCACTTCTAATCAGTAGAGAGCTACTCACATTGCTAGTTAAAGTAGACCTGAACTCGGGCCACAATAAAAATAACTTCTAGTCTGCCTGGGGAAGTAGAGACTTAGCCAGAACTAAAAGAATTTAGGAAAGAGAGGCATACCTGTATTATCCCTACTCCCAGAGAAAACATTGTCAAGGTTAAAGCTAAACAGGAATACAATACATATTCTCCTAGGTTCAAAGTGAGTGTGTCTATGGAGAAATTAGGTAGAAAACTGGTCTTGGAAATAATGTATAGAGACAGTATGAATGAAAATTGCCACGCATGGTAATTCCTTAAACTCTTTTACATGTGGAAGATGGACAACTGAAATCAGTTCCCTGGGAACCAGTGACTTAAAGAATTAAAGCAGAGGGGCGCCTGGGTGGCGCAGTCGGTTAAGCGTCCGACTTCAGCCAGGTCACGATCTCGCGGTCCGTGAGTTCGAGCCCCGCGTCGGGCTCTGGGCTGATGGCTCAGGGCCTGGAGCCTGTTTCCGATTCTGTGTCTCCCTCTCTCTCTGCCCCTCCCCCATTCATGCTCTGTCTCTCTCTGTCCCAAAAATAAATAAACGTTGAAAAAAAAATTAAAAAAAAAAAAAAAAAAGAAGAATTAAAGCAGAGTTCAGGACCCAGGCTCAGGAAGTTTAATGAGACTGATCCCAGGACAGTGCTCACCAATTAGAAGGTGGCGGGGAGGGGGGGGGGGGCGGTGGAGGACAGAGCAATCTGAGATGCATGGATACATGGATGAGTATTAGCTGAATGGAGGTAGAATGGAGATAAGCACGGGCTAGAAATGTACCTCCAAATGGGCAACGCATTGACTGACCTCATCCGACTGACGAACTGTCTTCAGTGCAATCCACACGGTCCCCACCATGGTGTCCCAGATCAGTCCTTTGTTCCATACCTCCACACTCAGACCCAGGTCCAGGCGACTAATCTCACTAAAGGAAAGAAGAAATCCCTTTAAAGAAAGCCAGATAGCGGTGCCTGGCTGGCTAAGGAAAAGCATGTGACTCCTGATATAGGGGTTGTGAGTTTGAGCCCCGTGTTAGGTGTAGAGGTTACTTAAAAAAAAAAAAAAAAAAAAAAAAAAAAGCCAGATTATATGAATCATATATCTACTATATTCAAGGTTTTGCTAAACCTTAAATACTTTCTCACCAGGATCCTATCATCAGGGAAAATCAAAATGTCCCAGAACACTACAACCATTCTTTAGGTTCCTAGAAAACTATGTAAGTATCCATAACAAAAAGCTTTGTCCATCTGTTCCCTCTCCTCTGGAGCTACAAACATGGTTAGATTAATGCATTTTCACACACAAAAAAATTAAGGTAAGTAAGGAGGTCATTAATGCCAGGTCTGCATGCTTACAGTCTCTACATACTAAACAGTTTTATTATGAATAGTAACACTGCCCTCAACTTACACTTACAAACTATATGCAGGAAACTTAGGAAAAATCAAAGCTTCTTAACAAAATTTACAAAAGGGATTCTAAGCAGAAGCAAAAGGGCCCCTGAGAATATCTAATTGTGATGGGTCCTTGTGGTCAGAGGCAGGTAAGGGACACTAGAGTGTGCCAGTTCACATCACTCGGCCCCTGGAGAACCCACTGGTCATTATCAGTTAAAGTAGACAGTATCCCATATAAACAAAATGTTTATCACAGGAGAGTGATTGACACAGTGATTTTCCTATAATAACTAGGAAATTTTTTTTTCGAAAAGAAATCATTCCAGAAAGAACCACATAACCAGTAAGCAAAAACAGCATCATACATGGTAGATTATCAACTTAGAAGGGCTAACTCAAATTATAGTCTTCAAGTGGAACAACCACTTACATTAATGCTAAAAACATTCTCCAAAAAGCGCTTATTGAAATACAGGATTATTTGAAAGGAAATGTAAGAAAGATGAGAAAAGGCCAATTCTAGAAGAAAAAGCAGAAAGGTATTCTCAAGAAGACAATAGCTATTCATCACCTAAAGTTTCAAGTTCACACTTCAGAGGAAGCTTGGTTTCTGTGTTCTAAAGATACATGTTCTCAGATTCACATGTCTAGGATGTGGTATTACAACCACAGAATTCTCATCAAGTGTGTTGAAAACAAGTGAAGCAAAGAAAATTTACCTTTACATAAATACAATAGAACAATGTACTAATGAGTTCATTTGTCTATTTAATTAATGCTTCCTGAGCACATAGAATACATATGGTTTGGTGCTATGGGCAAGACACACAATACAGGACCCAATTCCTGTCTCTAAAACCTTCCAAGCTAACTGTAGAGCTATTCAAAGTCACAAAGTAGGTGACTAAACTCACCCACTCAGTTAAGGTGTTCACAGTGTGGCAAAACTAAGCTTTCTGTCACACAGTTTCATTCAGCCTAAATAATCGATTAGCCTTAGAAAAGAAACATGACAACCCCACATCTCTTTAATCTGGAAAAGAAAAACTGCACGGGGATATATACGTAATGTTCCTAATGCAAGTCCTAAACAACATCTCAATCCAATTGATGAAAAAAATAGAGGTTTTTACAGCTTAACTTGGATAAAGAAAAAAAATCTTTTCTGCAAGGAAACCTGGGGAAGAAAACTCAAACAATGAGGATATCTTCTACAATAAGTTTCTTATCTCACCTATGTGTGTTCAGCAGACCCAACTAAAAGAAGTCTGAGAGCTCTGTTTATGCCTTGTCCCCAGAGCTCTGGGGGAGCTTCTTTTCTCTATTAATTAATCAACAGTATATGTGCATACCTGTATATAAGATTTTGGGCTAAACAAATTCTAAGTAAAGATGCCCTCCCTAATTTCCCTTTAATGAATAATCTAGTCCTGGAAATAAGATACAGAAATATTAAAGATAAATAATGAGAAATACAAAAACGAGTATTAGATACTGACACATAATACATCAGGAAAAAGGAGAAAGAGAGACAAGAGACCAGCAATGGAGCCGCCAGTGACAAAAGAACAGGGTAGGATGAATAAGGAATAAGAGCAGAAAAGAGGAAAACGTAGCTAATAAAATCCATGGGTAACAGAGGAGACAGCAAACTTGACAGCATCTCCAGATGGGAGATGAAAAAAATTCACACGTATAACAGAAAGGTTGAAAGAGGAAGTGCAGGGGAAATTTGAAAATAAACACATAAGAATAAAGCTAGTTATGCTGATGAGAGGCTGCTGATGGCTAGGTTTCACATACTGTGAAGAGCTATAATAGTAAGTGATTATTACTGGCAATTGGAGATCAGAAGAAAGTAGGATTGCTAGGTTTATATGTCATAGCCACAGGAAGAGACTTGAATAAACCACTCATAGCTAACTTTGCACACTACATGTATAAAGAAAGGAATGCATGGTCTCATTTTCACAACTTTGCAACTGAGAAAGGGAATGAACATGGTTTATAATCTTGAGAGAGAGGCAACCAGTGAGAAATGTGACATCACTTGCCCTCTTTCATTCTTGAAGCCCCAGTTCTCTCTCAGCTTCCAGGACACCACTATGTCCTATTTCTCTTTCTATCTCTGTGTTCATTTCTTTTTCACTCCCTCTGTCCCACTTTAAATACTGGTGCTCTCCAGGCTTTACCCCAGGCCCTTTCCCCAATTTACTCACTCTCTCCCTAAGCCTTCTCATCTACACCTACAGCTCCAACTGATCAAAATATTTCTCCAATCCAGACTTCTTTCCTGAGTGCCACGTTTAAGTTCCTAACCATCTTCTGTACCTCTCTTCCTACTAGTCCTGTAAGAACCCCAAATATAAGCTTGTCTACAACTGACCTTATTATGTCCGGTATCCTAGTAAATAGCATAACACCTCTCCAATCATGTAAGAAAAGTCTACCTCCTTAACATCTTCTTTCCTTCTTCTCCTAACTATCCCTTCCACTACTGTCTTAGCCCAACACCTCATAATCTTACCTTTTAACTCTTTATAAACAAGTTTCCTAAATGGTATTATAAGAAACAATTTATTAAAAGTCCAAAGGATTGGAATGTATCTACAAGAAAATAATCATCCCTTTGTGCCTCTGAGATGCACTATAATACTTGTAAAGCAATTTTATTTTCAACTTCAAATCTCACAGCAATTTTAATACATTTTCTTGTTTGACACCCTCATTCCTAACTTCCCAGAAAACAAGCATAATCTTGTAAGAAAGACAGACGTGGGACCCCGAGGTAGATTAGTTGGTTGACTGACCTACTCTTGATTTTGGTTAGGTCATGATCTCACGGTCATGAGATGGAGCCCTAAACCCTGAATTGGACATGGAGCTTGCTTAAGATTCTCTCTCTCCATCTGTCTGTCTCTCTCAAGAGAGAGAGAGAGAGAGAGAGAGAGAAAGAAAGGGAAAAAAAAGACCTTTAAAGAACTCAATGATTTGCCTAGTCCTTCAAAATTATATTCCAGGGCCAACTGGGTGGCTCAGTTGGTTATGCATCTGATTTGGCTCAGCCATGATCTCATGGTTCAAGAGTTCAAGACCTGCACTGGGCTCTGCACTACCTCTCTCTCTCTGCCCATCCCCCACTCATGTTTTCTCTCTTGCTCTCTCAACATAAACAAAAAAAAATGATATTCTAGGGGTGCGTGGGTGGTTCAGTTGGTTGGGCATCCAACTCTTGATTTTGGCTCAAGTCATGATCGTTTGTGGGTTCGAGCCCCGTATCAGGTTGTGCACTGCTTGGGAGCCTGCTTGGGATTCTCTCTAGCCCCCCCACTCTGTCCCTCCCCCACTGATGCATGCACACATGCACACATTCTCTTTCTCTCTCTCTCAAAAAAAAATGATATTCTATAAATTTCTCCCCTTTTAATTTTTTTTTAAACATTTATTCATTTTTGAGAGACAGGCAGAGACAGAGCCAAACAGGGGAGAGGCAGAGAGAGAAGGATACACAGAATCCAAAGCAGGCTCTAGGCTCTGAGCTGTCAGCACAGAGCCCGCAACAGGGCTCAAACCCAGGAACCATGAGATCATGACCTGAGCCAAAGTTGGCCGTGCAACCAACTGAGCCACCCAGGCACCCCTTAGTATTCTTTTTTTTCTTTTTTAAGTTCATGTGTTTATTTTGAGAGAAAGAGTAAGGGAGAGGTAGAGAGAAGGGGAGAGAGAATCCCAAGCAGGCTCCATGCTGTCAGCACAGATCCCAGTGCAGGGCTCGATTCCATGAACTCTGAGATCATGACCTGAGCTGAAATCAAGAGCTGGATGCTTAACTGACTGAGCGACCCAAGTGCCAAGTTTTTTAAAGCTAGAGCTTACAATCGTAATATATTAATTTTTGTGTCATATACAAGAAATTCTACTAATTGTTACTCATTTTTATTAATTAGAGGAAGGTATGACATTTCACTCCATAAAGCAAAAGGATTTTAAGCACAGAAATGCTCATCTTCTATAGCAGGCAATCCAGATGTATACACATACACTCATTCTCTGTCCATATTCTCTCTCTCACACACACACACAAGCATAACCACATACCTTCAAGGAGCCTTCTGAGAATTGAGCAAGATTTAAATTATATCTAACATCATGTTAAGTATATTACACTATTTCATAATTCTGACCACTGGGAAAATCTGACTAGGTAGTATATTTACCGAATTAATTGGGAGTTTACTTGAATTCATAATTCATATAAGATAGAATAGATTACAAATCCAAGAGACAAATTTACTCCAGGGATACTACTGGAATGATCTTCACATTTCAAGGAGGCTAGAGATAAATCTACTTTATAATTTAAAAAGGCATGGGGGTGCCTGGCTGGCTCAGTCAGTGTTGCATGCAACTCTTGATATTGGGGTCATAAATTCAAACCTCACATTGGGTGTAGAGAGTACTTTAGAAATAAAATGGGGCAGGGAGGAGTTAAGATGACATAGTAGTAAGGGGACCTTGGGTTTGC